TTTGGTACTGAACAGGTGCTGGATAGAAAGAACAGGGCCCGAAGCTTAGTTTCAGCTGTAGATTTTAAGAGCTGTGCTAGACCGTGAATACCAGTGGTCTTTCTCTGCTCCTTTCTCTGGTGATGCTCATAGAGATCAGAGAAGCTGGGTTAGGGCTTTAGAATGAGAGAACCATAGGAATAGGGGTGGGATTTCAGTGACCTTGTGATACATGATAGTCAGAATAATAGTTTATATTTATTCACTGTTTGAAATTACTTCTAAATTGGAGAGTGAATGTATAATATATCACCTCAATGTATAAACTAATACGTGGTATTTCAAATTTCTCCTCTAATGTAGCTCATAGTACTCATATGCTAGGGGGTTGTATTTAGGATCTTCAGTGAAACATGGTTGGTTGACTGGATTTCCCCCCAACTTTGTATAGACCAGGTTTTTAAAAATAATTCATTAGATTTTTCTTTTTCTTCCTTTGGGAGTCTGGATTTGGGTTCAGTCTGGGCTCTGCTGTTCACTGTAAGTACACTGATCTCTCTGGGCCTTGATTCTTCATCTGTAAAGTGGTGATGATTGTACTTACTCCTCGATAGCTATCGTCAGGATTAATGTAAGCTAAAGGGGATGAAGTAGCGCCATGTACCTCCACGGGTGGAGTTCTCAGTAAGTGTTCACTGTTAACATTATCTCCAGAAGCTACAGCTTAAAATACTAAGGCGTTTGACTGGAGCTATAAAGTCAATTTAAATTTTTTTTTGAGATAAAACTAGGTTGTAAACTTCGCCACAAACACACTGACTTTCTGCAAGGTCCTGTGCTCAAACTCAATTTGCTGTGTCATTCAGATTTCAAGGACTTTTAATATCATCCTTCTTGTGAGAAATGCGTGAGTGTTTTGCTATAATCGTTGGCAGATGACATTATATTTACTTGTTTTTATTGGAACGAAGAAAGATATTTATCTTCATCTGAAAGCTGAACGATATAAATACTGCTTGGACAGTAACACAGTATGAGTGACTTGCTTAATGTCAGACCTGGTAAGCAGTCAAATCTTGTCACTCTATACTTAGTACACAGTTATTTGCTTCTAGATTAGCCCAGAAACAAGCATATGGTATTTCGCAGGATTTGTCTTTATTTTCTTAAAGTAAATGGAAGTTGTCAGAGTTTTCAGCTGGAAGTTATTTATCCTTTTGTCTTTATTTTGCTAGAGTTTTGACCTTAATGTGTTAATTTTTACTTGTATGAAATATATATTTTTTATTATTTTCACTATTATGTTAAATTGATAACAAAGTTGTGAAAATACTCTTTAATTGACTCAGCTATAAACTTGGCCACGGTCATAATTTGGCCCTTCCATTCTAAATGATAGCTTTGCTGGGTAGAGTAATACAGCAAAGTATTACTGATGGATAGTTGTAGTCCTTGCTTTTCATCGCTTTGAATACTTCTTGCCAGTCCCTTCTTGCCTGCAAAGTTTCCTTTGAGAAATCAGCTGATAGTCTTATGGGAACTCCTTCATAAGTAAATCTCTCCTTTTCTCTTGCTGCTTTTAAGATTATCTCATCTTTAAATTTTGTCATTTTAATTTGATATATTTTGGTGTGGTTTTCTTTGGGTTCAACATGTTTGGGACTCTGCACATCCTGGACATGTATGTCTATTTCCATTGACAAATTAGAGTAGTTTTCTTTCCTTATGTTTTAAAATAAGTTTTCAATTTCTTGCTTTTCCTCTTCTCCTTCTGGCACCCCTATAATTTAGATGTCAGTATGTTTAAAGTTGTCCTAGAGGTTCCTAAGCCTATCCTCATTTTTTTGAATTTTTTTTCTTTCTGTATTTCTAATCGAATGCTTTTTCCTTCCTTGTATTCTAAATCGTTGATTTGATTCTTGGCTTCTTCCTCTCCTCTGTTGGCTCCTTATAGATTTTTCTTTATTTCGCATAGTGTAACCTTCATTTGTTCTCTTATGTTTTTACCATATTCAGTGAGTTCTTTGAGCATCCTGATCACCAGTGTTTTGAACTCTGTATCTGATAGATTGGTTATCTTCATTTTGTGTAATACTTTTTTCTGGGGTTTTGTTCTGTTCTTTCATTTGGTCCACATTTCTTTGTCTCCTCAATTTGGCAGCCTCCCTGTGTTTGTTTCTGTGCATTAGATAGAGCTGCTTTGACTCCCTGTCTTAGAAAAGGCACCTGCCAATTGTGTGGGGTGGAGCCTTAGGGACTTGCCAGGGCAGGGCAACCTGCTTCACCACTTTGTGGCTCTTTGCGGGGAGGCCTTGGAGAGAGGACAGTGCTGCTGCCTGGCTTCTAGAGGTTTGCCCAGCAGTCGCCCCATTTCCAGTCACTTCACCCACATCCCATATATGACTGGTGCCTTTCCTGATCTCTAGTATGTTATTAAACTGGCCAGCTCATTTGCTCTGAAATGTTCTTTAAGGAATTGATGAATGATGTTAATTGTTCTTTTTGGGTTAGGTCACTTCATTTTGTAGGATGAGCCAAGGAATGATGGTTTAATAAACATGTATTGAGTTTATATTATATGCTAGCAAATCAGCTTGTTGGAATAGGTTGTTAACTCACCTGGGTTATGTTGGATGGCTTTAACAATGAGAAGGATTTTAGTTAGATCTACTCCTTACTGTGTAGCCTCAGAGACAAATGTTACTTTCTTCACTCGTTGAGCTAGTATGCCTACCTCTTAGAGTGAGTTTAATGAGGTTATTGAACTGATTCTTGCTGTGTATTCTTCTAAGCCTTGATTGGTGTAATTTAATGTTCTCTTCAAGCTTGGCACTCACCTCTCAGAGGGTTACTGTGCCAATTCTATTTATGGCAAGGCGGGAAGGGATTTCTTCAGAATTTCTGACTACAAGGTGATTGTGGTCTAGGAAAAAGAATTGCTAAACTCTTTTGAGACTCCAAGTGCTTTGATGCTTTGGAAATAACCGTTAGATTTTTACTTAGACAGCTGGGTTCAGTTCATCACATGCCAAGGTCTTTGTCAGTTATTATCTTCGACAAATACAGAGTCCAATAGGGGCCTGATTGCATGTAGAGAGAAATTATGATATAATGTAGCCAAAATATGCAGTGAAATCTTTCACTGCACAAGGCATAGATGTTGTCTAGATGGTTATTCTTGTTCAAGGCCAGGCAAGAGAGTTGGGTTTTGTGGAGGAAAGGAAGACTTAGGATGGTTCAGATGGGTAAAGATTGCCTTTTTAAAAAAAAATTAGGTTTCTGTGGTTCCAGGCAGAGAGAAGGCATAAAGTGGCAGGTAGTAGGTAGGTTGGTATCGCTGGGATATGAATTGTGAAGGAATAATGGTGCGAGATAAAGGTAGGAAGGGATGCAGGACCTGTGTCTTGAAGGGTCTGGCGTGCTGCACTTTGGAGCTGGGAGTTTCTTTGGGTACGTGGCAGCCATCAGCTTAAAGCCACTGAAAACATCTAAGCCAGGAGGCTGAAAGGATGGAATTTAGTTAGGTCCCTCTGATAGCAGTCTGGAGTTTGGATTGGAGAGGAGTAAACTTAGAAGGAATACTAGTAGGAAGGTTCAAAAGTGAGTTTTAATTTAGTAAACTTGTTTTACTGAACTGAGATCATGAAATAATGAATGAAGGCATGACATGGAATGAAGAAAAGAGGAAACACAGAGAGGACCCTGGGCTGAGTACCAGAGGAGTCCGTGTTTGGGGTTTGGGTTAACTGAAACAGCACCAGAAAGGAGACTAAAGAACAAATGAGCAGATTTGAAGCATTGAGACAGTCGAGTTCAGTTTTGTCCACGTTGAGCTTTGAGTACTGGTGATGCATCTACGTGGAGATGACCAGCAGATAACTGGATATGAGGATGTGACGTTCAGTGGAGAGACCAAGAGGAAAACTGTAGATTGAGGCATCACCAGCATACAACAGGTGATTGTTACAGGAGATCATAGGGAGTGAGAAGAGAGGAGAAGAAAGCCAGTGGCGGAACTCTGGGGCACACACCAGCAGTTGAAGGGTATTCTGGGGAAGCGGACACTGGGAATGAATAAAAGGAGAGGGGGTTAGAGATAAGGTGTCATAGGAATGGAGGAAGGAAAGAATTTTTTGGAGTTGGTGTGGCAGTTTTGTCCAAAGCCAGCCTGCCTTTGCCACTTGTTCTGTGACTTGGGAATCCATTTTACCTTTGGCTTTTTGTCTGTAAAGAGGTGTTTAGCCCTGGCTGGCATAGCTCGGTGGATTGAGCGCGGGCTTGTGAACCAGAGTATCGAGGTTCAATTCCCAGTCAGGGCACATGCCTAGGTTGCAGGCCAGTTCCCAGCAGGGGATGCATGAGAGGCAACCATGCATTGATGTTTCTCTCCCACTCTTTCCCTTTCCCTTTCCCTTCCCCTCTCTCGAAAAATAAATAAATAAAATATTTAAAAAAAAAAGAAAAACCTTAAAAAAAAAAAAGAGGTGTTTGGATTCTTACACCATTTCAGTCTGTGATCTGTGGATTTCCCACAGGTTCAGAAAAGGTTCTGTGAGGTCTATAAAGAAGGTCAAGGTCAGTTATTTATAGCAGGGAGGGAATACAGGTACTCTACTCCTGATTCAAACAAACCGGCTAGGACAGCTTGGTTTTTTAAATGTATTTTATATATTTGACTTTAGTATAAGATTTCATTTAAAAAACATAGTGTAGTATAAGAAGTTTGAAAACTACTGCCCTATAGAAGTCATAAGATCCATTCAAGCATTAAAAACTATATAATTAATAGCTGATGTTCAAAATTAGATGCAAACTTTGCATCTAATAGATGCTCTATTAGATGAAAATCATAATAGATGCAAACTTTGTGCATGATTTGGATTTTACTCAGAGGTCGACATTAATGTCTGAGTTTATGTGATAATTGCTGTTCTTACTCTCCTTAGGAATAAAAACTGAACTTTTAAACAACTCCATTCTGTTTTATACTTAGTTAACAACCTGTTTGTGTGTCTCACCAGGTTCTGAGTCAGAAGATCTTTTGGAAGAATTAGTCTGCTGTTTGATGCAGTTAATCACTGATATTCCACTCTTGTAAGTTCTGGCCACACCGGGGATTGTTTTATCTTCTTCGTATATTGCAGATGGCAGCTGATGATGTTGAAGAGTTTGTGGGTCCTGGTACAGTACTTTCACGTTCGCCTTTTGAGGGTTGTACATTCATGGAGTTCTTTGATTGTTCTTGCCTAATAATGTTGAAACTGACTATCCATCATCAGAGCAAGAATTTTGAGTTTTGAGAGGAGAATAATCAAACTCTTAGCAATACTAAGCGTATGGTAGGCACAGAATTAGATTAATCTCTGTAATAAGAGATCTTACACATCTCTGCAAACCTGGGTTTAAGAGAGAAGCAGTTTGAGACTGACTCACATGCGGTAGACGCAGCTGGTTGTTCACCCATTATTGCTCTTCCCTTCTTTTTTACTTCCTGGTTTTGTTTTGGGCCATTTTTGGAGAGGTCAGATTTTCATGTCCATCTTTTCTTAAAGCTGGATATGGTCACTGAGCTGAAGGGGAAGTTCTCCAGTGAAGTGTGAGTGAAGCTCTTTGAGGGAACCTGCCTCAACTGGGAGGCCTGCCTTTCTCTTCTGGACAGCCCCCCTTTCCTGCCGTCAGAACGTGGGCGTGGCCCTCGAGTTCCACGGCCCTGTGGGCACCGTGCACTGAGATATTCCCAGAGAACCCTTTGATGCTGTGGAGCAGCTGACCCAGCTCATCAAGTACCGGTCTCCAAGCCCCCTCTTGCCTCCTGGACTTCTTCTCACGTGAGAAGAACAGACCCTCATTTGTTTACTGTGCTGGATTTCTGTCACAGCAACGGAATGCAATTCCAGCATGGTTCAAAATGTCTGTTCTTTTAAAGCAGTTACTAGCAACCATTTTTTGAATCGCCTAAGGAGCCCTTTTAGACATTTTTTTCTTAATTGTTTCTCCCTCTTGGAAAGTCACAAATCATTACAATATCTGTGATGTTTTTCACCTCAAATAACTAATTTTTATTCTCTGGGTCAGGTGGGGAGATGATATCCTTGCTGAGAATACATATTTCAAAGAAATTATTTATTTTTAAAATAAAGAAGCAGATTTTGAGTTTAGTTTAAGATAGAGGCATAGGTAGACACGCTGCCTCCTTGTACAACCAAAGTAAGGACAACAACAATTTAGAAACAAAATAACAACCAGAATTGACAGAAAATTGAACTGTATGGAAGTCGGACACCCACGGAGATAAAATAGACACCTTCATCCAGACCGGTAGGCAGGGCAGAGTTGGGCAGCTGGGCAGAGAGGGGTTTCGGCACAAAAAGTGGTGGCACTGGACGTGCAAGGCACCCAGGTGCGCAAGACAGCCGTGGGTGGACCCTGGGCACACAGGTGGCGGCTGGCAGACTTCGGGTGTGGGCTGGCAACTGGTAGACACAGCGAGGTGGCAATTATGAAGCGAGGCATTGTGTGCAAGGCAGCTGACTGGGCAGCGGTCCCACATTTGTGCACAGATAAACCAGGCAAAATTGGGGAGTGAGACAGACCATGCAACCCAGGGTCCCAGGGCCAGTAAATAAAGGCTCAAAACACCATTTGAAAACACCTGTTGGGGTTGAGGCACAGGGAGACTCCCAGCCTCACAGGAGACTTAGTTGGAGAGACCCACAGGGTCCTAGAATGTACAAAAGTCCACCTATATGGGGATTGGCACCAGAAGGGCCCAGTTTGCTTGAGGAAAGCAGGGGAAGGGACTGAAATCCAACAGAGCGGAGCAAGCCCCATTGTTCCTTCTCGGACCCCGCCCCCACATACAGTGTCACAACACAGCGACTGGGTCGCCCCACCCTGTTCAGTACCTAATGCTCCGCCCCTCACTACATAACAGGTGCGACAAGCCAAAAAAAAAGGCCCAAACAGAACAGATCAAAGCTCCACAGCAAATTACAACTAAGCGACGAAGAGATAGCCAACCTGGCAGATGCACAGTTCAAAGCACTGGTGATCAGGATGCTCACAGAATTGGTTGAACTTGGTTGCAAATTAGATGAACAAATGAAGGAAACTATGCTAAGTGAAATGAAGGAAAATGCACAGGGAACCAATAGTGATGGGAAGGAAACTGGGATTCAAATCAATGAGGTGGACCAGAAGGAAGAAAGAAACAACCAAACAGAAAAGAATGAAGAACAAGAATTCAAAAAAACGAGGAGAGGCTTACGAACCTCCAGGACATCTTTAAACGTTCCAACATCTGAATTATATGGGTACCAGAAGGGGAAGAGGAACAGCCACAAGTGGAAAAATTACTTGAACAATTAATAAAGGAGAACTTCCCCGATCTGGCAAAGGAAAATAGACTTCCAGGAAATCCAGGAAGCTCAGAGAGTCCCAAACAAGTTGGACCCAAGAAGGAACACACCAAGGCACATCATCATTACATTAGCCAAGATTAAAATGAAAGAGAGAATCCTAGAAGCAGCAAGAGATAAAGAGACAGTCACCTACAAAGGAGTTCCCATCAGACTGTCAGCTGATTTCTCAAAAGAGACCTTGTAGACAAGAAGGGTCTGGAAAGAAGTATTGCAGCTCATGAAAGGCAAGGACCTACATCCAAGATTGCTCTATTTGGCAAAGCTTTCATTTAGAATGGAAGGGCAGATAAAGTGCTTCTCACATAAGGTCAAATTCAAGGAGTTCATCATCACCAAGCCTTTATTTTATGAAATATTAAAAGGACTTATCTAAGAAAAAGAAGATAAAAAGCATGTATAGTAAAATGACAGCAAACTCACAGTTATTAACAACCACACCTAAAACAAAAGCAAACTAAGCAGACAGCTAGATCAGGAGCAGAGCCACAGAAATGGAGATCACATGGAGGATTGGCAACAGGGGAGTGGGAAGGGGAAAGAGGGGAAAAGGTACAGAGAATAAGTAGCATAGATGGTAGGTAGAAAATAGATAGGGGGAGGGCAAGAGTAGTAGGGGAAATGTAGAAGCTAAAGAACTTATGACACATGGACATGAACTGAAGGGAATGTGGGTGGGAGAGGGTGTGCAGGGTGGAGGGGAATGAAAGGGGGGAATGGGACAACTGTAATAGCATAATTAACAAAATATATTTAAAAAACAAGAAGTAGATTTTAAGACTAAACTATCATAGAATCTCCATCTTCATGGGATGTCAGTAGAAATGTGCTATTTGCTGATAGTCCAAAGAGGAAAGACAGTGTTTGTGAAAAGTGGGCTTCTGGCCTCTGTTGTGTGTAAGCGTGGCATCCAGAATCATAATGCAGCCTAGGAAGGAGAGCCACTGAGCTCTGCTGTGACCTGGCCTAGTGACGAGCAGCTTGGAAGGCAGGGCCGAGGTGCCTGAGGAGTCACCTGCCTGCTAGGGAAGGGGAGGGGAAGTGTCCTGTGCACATTGAACTCTCGTGACAGACTTAGCTATTAGCATGCCTGACAGTCCTTCCTCACCTTCCTTTCCAACAGATCTCCAGTACTGTGCGGGGGCCCAGCCTAGGTTTTAGGCACCTTGGGAACTGAATGTGCTCAAAATGCGGCCCTGTGACGGTTTGGGCCAATTACATGTGAACAGAAGTGATGAGCTTGTAGAGCACGTGCCTTTAGCTGTTTGATCTGTGTCCTCTCTCTTCCTGGAATGTGGAGGTGGCACTTAAGCCATCTTAAAAATATGATGGTGCCCACCGTGTGCAAAGGACCGTGTCCCGGGAGCACGGGGCATGGATGATACTGTGGAACGATCACACCGATCACTTATCTTTGGATTTCTGATTACATGAAAAAAATAAACCCTTATTTTGCTTAAGCCTCTGTGGTTAGGCTTCTGTTACGTATGGTCAAATGTGGGAGGGGGGCACCGGTCGTCTGCTGTTTACTTGTCCTGGTATGTGATGCTTCGTGTGCTCCAGATTCAGTTTTGAAATAGCACCACCTCTGTTACATTATGTCCTTAAAAAGACCATCGGGATCTTCTAAATGAATATGTTTTTTCCCTTTGTTGACAAAATATCTTGAAGTTAAGGGGGATGGAAGTAGTAAATAAGCCATGAGTGTACTAACGAGACTGCCACTTAATACTCTCGGGGAGCAAGCCGACAGTGTTAATATATCAGACATGTCAGTGTTTTAATGTGTTTATACTTTTTAAATGAACTGAAAATGCACGGAGAACCAGATGTCTTGTGTTATGTACACTCAGCTTTATCCAGCTGCTGAAACAATTTCTTATGATTTAATATTCTTGGAACTTCGTCCTCCGAGAAGGTTTGTCTTGGTAACCGTTTCCATGTGAAACCAAATTACTCCTTCAGGGTTTCCTCTGCTGTAACTGCGGTGCAGTGTTGCGGATCAGTGTATAATTTAAGGAGGAACGTTAACTAACACTCGGAAACCGGGATGCCCGGAAAACTGAGCACCGTCTGTCTTGCTGTAAACGTGCGCGTCAGCGTGGAAGGCCAGGCCTGCCAGTGCTGCGCTGGTGTGTGGACCCCAGCAGGAATCCCGGTCCGGCAGCCACTGAGGGGGATTCCAAGCGGACACAGTTCTTGTGAGGCTGTGAAATCACTTTTAACATCGAAAGCAAGTCATTACCAACAATGTAGATAGATACTTAGAGATCTGTAAACTGGGTTTTAAATGATACTTTAGTGTTAAGAGAACAAGATCACTGCAGCAGTTTAGATAAACTCTCAGAATTTGAAGGAATTATTTGTGATGAAAATGGACTTTTACGTAGTTATTCGATAGGGCTTTTCAGTTTGGATTTCTTAATAAAATACTAATTCTCTGAGGTATTCATCTTCAAAGTCAGAATTAAAATCGCACATCTTACAGAATTTCTTCCTTAACTCCTCTCAGCATTTATGTATTTAAAGATTAAGTCATGTGTGTGCTCATGATTTACATTTTGCACAGTATATTGGGTTGATCCCACTATGGTTGAAATGTCTTCCAAAATTAAAGGCTTGTCTTTAATTATTATACCTGCTTGATCTCAAGGAAGCGAGTGCAAAAGGGATAAA